CTGTAATTTAATTCTTCGATTGTTTTTTATTGTTGTTGATTTTTCTTAATTTTAAAAAAAAATTATTTAGGTTTATAGTTCAATTACATTTTCATCTATCATTTTCTTCTTAACATTTCATTGTTGATTTCCAGAAAATCTCCGAGGAAATCGCCGAAGCGAAATTTAACTGCCGAAACTAGGTTTTCTTTGTTGTTGTTGTTGTAATATATGTTTCGTTTTTAACCTATATCCTATAATTTTTAGTGATATCCTCTACTATGTTCATGATGTCTTATATGTATTATGTGTATAATATGTGTATGAAACTGATGTTTTGCTTTCTCATGATGAGGTGCTTTATTGCAATAAATGATGTCATTTATTCTGTTAATGATGTCTTATATTCTTTTGATTATTTCTTTTGTTATTATGATGATATCCTGTATTTTATCAGATGATTACCTCTATTGTCCTGTTGATGTCCTGGGTTCTGTTAATGATGTCCTATATTCTTTTAATTATATCCTTTATTATTATCATGATATCTTCTAATTTCTCAAATGATTTCCTCTATTGTCTTATTGATTTCTTGGGTTTTATTAATGATGTCCTATATTCTTTTGATTATGTCATATATTCTGTTGATGATGTACTCTTTTCTATTGATGATTTTTATATTCTCTTGATGCTGATTTCTATTATTTAGATAGAGTCATGTATTTGATTATCTAGTTGAAGATGTCCTATATTGCAATTAATGATGTCCTCTATCCTGTTGATTTTATGTCCTCTATTCTATTGATGATTAATTTTTTGGTGATGATGTTATCTTTTACTTGGTTCATGTCCTGTAATTGTTTACATCATTTCCTCTATTGTCTTAATGATATTCTACATGGTTTTTATGATTTCCTCTATTGATGATGTCTTTTACATAGTTGATAATGTCCAAGGTTCTATTAATGATGTCCTATATTGTTTTGATTATGTCCTTTATTATTATTATGATATCATGTAATTTCTCAGATGATTTCCTCTATTGATGATGTCTTTCACATTGTTTATGATGTCCTTGGTTCTGTTAATGATGTCCTATATTGTTTTGATTATGTCCTTTATTATTATCATGATATCCTGTTATTCTTCAGATGATTTCCTCTATTGTCTTGTTGATTTCTTGGGTTCTTTTAATGATGTCCTATATTATTTTGATTATGTCATATATTCTGTTGATGATATACTCTTTTCTATTGATGATTTTTATATTCTTTTGATGATGTTTTCTATTATTTAGATAGCGTCTTGTATTTGATTATCTAGTGGAAGATGTCCTATATTGCAATTAATGATGTCCTTTATCCTATTAATTATGTCCTCTATCCTGTTGATGATGTCCTCTATTCTGTTGTTCATGTCCTCTATTCTATTGATGATGTTCTCTTTTATTTGGTTGATGTCCTGATACTATTTACTCATTTCCTCTACTGTCTTAATGATATCCTACATGGTTTTCATGATTTCCTCTATTGATGATGTCTTTTACACTGTTGATGATGTCCAAGGTTTTGTTAATGATGTCCTTATTGTCATGATTATGTCCTTTATTATTATCATGATATCTTCTAATTTCTCAAATGATTTCCTCTATTGTCTTGTTGATTTCTTGGGTTTTGTTTTTGATGTCCTATATCTTTTGATTATGTCTTTTACACTGTTTAAGAAGTCTTAAGTTCTGTTAATTATGTCCTATATAATTATCATGATATCCTGTAATTACTCAAATGATTTCCTCTATTGATGATATTTTTACACTGTTTTGATGTCCTGGGTTCAGTTAATGATGTCCTATATTCTTTTTATTATGTCCTTTATTATTATCATGATATCCTCAATTGTATTGTATTATTTTTTTCTTACATTGTATTTTATATTTTAGAAAACGAGTCAAACAATCTTCTGTGAAAAAAGTTAAACTTGATGTTGCAAAGCCTCAAAAAAGAAAGAAGTTTGAAAAACAAGATCTTGATTTAAGGTATTACATTGTGAAAACATTATTATATGTAATTTTTATATCTTTTTATTTGTCTAATCAATTTCTTGTTCTTTTTTGTTGTTCCATTGATATAACTGAAGATGATATGAGAGATGTTACAATTTCTAGCCAATGTAGTGCACATTCAATGTCATATTTTATAAGTCTCTTATCTAAGGATCAGAAGTCTAATGTTGAAGACATTGGGTTTCGTGGACTTTTACATATGAACTTTTCTAGATATCTAAATAGATCTTTGTATCAGCCTCTTGTTTTGAATTGTAATGCTACAGCTAAAAATTTGTTGGTTGGTGATCAAAAGATTTCTTTCAATAGTGTTGATTTACACAATGTTCTTGGCATTCCTCACACTAATACACCAGTTATTGAGTTGTCTAAAAAGAAGGTAGGTGAAAATCCAGATAAGGATATAATCAAGGAATGGAGAGACTATTTTGGTTTAGACAATGAAGAGGATGCTGACGTTGTGAAGCCTCGGAAGAAGAAATTTAATTTTTTATCTGGAACAGCTCCTTTAAAAGGAGAAAAAGTTCGTGACAAAGGTATTTATTTCCTTCATTGTGTGAGATATTATATCCTTTATTGCTTTCTTGATATTCTTTATTGTTTTATTCTTCTTCTTTATTGTTTTAATGATATCTTTCTTATGTATACTAATGAATTTTTTATTTTTTTATTTCTAGCTCTTATATCTTCTCAGACAGGGAAGAAGTCTTGTGAAGATATACCTGAAGAGGAGGCTGGTGTAGCTAAATCTGTTGCCAAAAAAAGATATGTTCCTTTGGATGTATTTAAGGAAAAATTTCAGTCTTTACAGAATGGAGGAGATGAGTTTAAGAGACATTTTGTGGTTTATGCAATGACTAATTTTCTAGCACCTTATGGTGATAAGTCTCTGAATATTAGTTGTGTTAAATCTTTGAGAGATGTTAATAAAATCAAAGATTTTAATTGGTATGGTTATATTATAAGGGAAATGTGCAGTTCTATAGAGGATTTTCAAAAGTTTCTGGTTCAAAAGAAAAAAAAGTCCATAACTGGTGGTAAGCATTTGAAGAAGATTGGTGGATGTTTACCAGCATTATTAATTGGTTTTGTTCAAAAAGCGCATTTTGGAGAACATGCAGAAGTTAAATTTTTTTTTATAAGAAATTGGGATATAGATTCTTTGAATGCTCGAGTGAAAGCTCAGAGTAAAAGCCCATCTCAATTTGGGAGTGGTATAGTGTTGTCAAATATTGATTTTTCTAGCATAGTGATTGCGGAACCTTCCAATATTGGTCAATCTGAAAAGGAAACTGAACAAATACAGAATGATGTGCCTTTAAATCTTGAATATAAAACCGATGTGCCTGAGGTTTTTAGTGATGGTGATTCTGACTTGTTTGTAAAATATAAGATTCCTAAAGGCTTTCCTTCTGACAAAGAAATTCAATCAATGGATATATCAGTAAGTTTTTAATCTTTTTATGGGTTATATGTTTATAATATTTTTATATCCTGTATTATATATTACTTTATCCTTGATGTTGTGAAATATATCCTTTGCCTTCTGTATTTATTTATATTATCCGTATTATCATATCCTGTTATTATTTGATCATATCCTTTATGGTTTGTATTATATACTCTGTTATGGGCATTATATATTGTTTATTTTAGTTTGATATCCTAGTCATTTAAAATGTTATCCTCAATTCTATTCTCAATTCTTATGATAGAGTTAATGGTAATGTTGTCACTCATTATGAGGTCAATCCTTTTAGAAGTTTTGTTGACAATCTTGATCTTTGTGAGCTTAAGAGTAAAGGTTCTTTTTACTCTTGGTCTAATAAGGGTCATGGTGATACTAGAATTGCTACAAGGATTGATAGGGGCTTGTGAATCAGGCTTGGTTGAGCAAATTCCCTCATGTTGAATCTATCTATCTTCCTCCTCTCCTTTCTGACCACAACCCTCTCTTGGTTGAAGTGAGTAGGTTTGCTGCTACTAAGGGGAGACCTTTTAGGTTTCTTATTTGCCTGGCTGATCATGCTGATTTTTGTTCCATTGTGGAAAAAACCTGGCATAGTGTTACAGGTTGTTCTGCTATGGTTACTATTTGGCAGAATTTGAAATCTGTCAAAAAGAACCTAAAAGATCTAAACACTAAGTATTTTGCTAATGTTAATGAGAAAGTGGATGTGGCTCTTGCCTCTTTGAAAGCCATTCAGGACTAGCTTGCTGTAGATTATTCTAATTCTGACCTTCATGTTAAAGAGGCTGAAGATGTATCTATGGTGAAGCATTGGATGAATATCCAAGAGTCCATTTATAAGCAGAAATCTAGGGTTGATTGGATTAAGCTAGGGGATTCCAGTTCTCACTACTTCTTTTCTGTTATGAAGCACAGGCAAGGTAGAAATAGAATTGATTCTATCTTCACTGAAGATGATGTCCTTTTGAAAGATCCTATTCTTATTGAAAATGAGATTGTGGGGTTCTATAAAGGGCTCCTTGGTTCTAGTGCTAGCTCTCTCCCTGCTGTTGACTTAGCCACTATTAGGAGAGGTTCTCAACTCAGCTCTAGTTCTATTGATATTTTGACTTCTGTGGTTACTACTTCTGAGATTGATAGTGCTCTAGCTCATATTGGAGATGATAAGGCGCCTGGAATTGATGGTTTTAATGTTGTTTTCTTCAAAAAGGCTTGGCCTATGATCAAAACTGATATTTATACTACTATCTTCTCTTTCTTTGAGACTGGTGTCATTGCTAAGCAGTGGAATTGTACTACAATCACCTTAGTGCCTAAGGTTTAGCATCCTTCTTATGTCAGAGAGTTTAGGCCTATTGCTTGTTGTACCATGTTGTACAAGCTGATCTCCAAAGTTCTCACAAACAGGATTTCTAAAGTGGTGGGGACTGTTATTGATGATGCTCAAGTTGGGTTTATCCCGGGTAAGCACATTGGTGACAATATTCTATGGCTACTGAATTGATCAAAGGCTACTCTCATAAGTTTGTTTCTCCTAGATGCATGATCAAGATTGACTTGAGAAAGGCCTATAACTCTGTTGAATGGCCATTTCTGCAGACTGTTTTAGAAGAGCTTGGTTTCCCTCATTCTGTTGTAAAATGGATTATGACTTGTGTCTGCTCTGTTTCTTACTCTGTGATGGTTAATGGCTTTCCTGCTAAACCTTTTTCTGCAAAAAAAGGCCTTAGGCAAGGAGATCCTATGTCTCCTTTTCTTTTTGCTCTTTGTATGGAGTACCTCTCTAGGTGCCTTAAGGAAATGAATGGGAATCCTAATTTTAATTTTCATCCTAGATGTGAGAAGTTAGGTATTACCCATATGATGTTTGCTGATGATCTTCTCCTCTTCTCTAGGGCTGATTCCACCTCTATTCAGCTTCTCTTGCAGGCTTTCCAGAAATTCTCTTGTGCTTCTGGTCTGGTGGCTAATTTAAGTACGAGTGAGGTTTATTTTGGAGGTATCTCTGATTCTGATAAAGATCAGCTGCAAACTGTTCTTGGTATGAGTAGAAGTAGTTTGCCTTTTAGATATCTTGGGGTGCCCTTGTCTTCTAAAAAGCTTATTATTGCTCAGTGTAGGCCTTTGGTTGAAAGGGTTACTGCTAGGATTGATTGTTGGACTTCTAGACAATTATCTTATGCTGGCAGGTTACAACTTATCAAAAGTGTTCTTTTTGGTATTCAGGCTTATTGGGCTCAGATTTTCATTCTTTCTAAGAAGATTCTTAGGGAAATTGAAACCAAGTTCAAGGTTTTCCTTTGGACTGGGAAGAACACTTATGCAAAAAAGGCCCCTTTCTCCTGGCATCATATGACTCTTCCTAAGGTTTGTGGTGGCTGGAATATTACCTCTCTTGGTGATTGGAATAAAGTTTCTATGTGCAAGATTCTGTGGGATCTTGCTCACAAATCTGACAATATGTGGGTGAAATGGGTGCATACCTATTATTTCAACAATAGGAATATTTGGACTGCCACTATTCCCAAGAAATGCTCATGGGTTTTGAAGAAAATCTTGACTTGCAGAGATATTATTGATGATATTGGTGGTTGGTCCTCTATTATGAAAAATGGGAAAATGAGTATTGCTAAACTCTATGCCCGGATTCAACCTCGGGCTCCTAAAGTAGGGTGGAAAAGAATTATTTGCAATAACCAAGCCACTACTAAGAGTATTTTCATTACTTGGTTAGCTTTTCTTGACAAACTTGCCACTAAGGATAGAATTGTGAAGTGGAATGCAAGTTGTGATCCTATTTGCTTTTTCTGCCAGAATACTTGTGAATCTGTCTCTCACTTGTTCTTCTACTGTCCTTATTCTAAGACTATTTGGGAACAGATTTTGAAGCTTCTTGATGTGAAAAAAGCAGTTCAACCTTTTCACATTGAACAGCAATGGATAGTTAAGAATTGTAGGAAGTCGAGCAGCAAGGGTAGAGTATACTCTATGTGTTTTGCTGAGGCTATCTATAGGATATGGCTGCAAAGGAATAGTCTGATGTTTACGGGTGACTGTAAACCTTCAGAAACTGTCTTTCATGACATTATTTATCATGTTGTTGTTAGGTGTAAATGAACAGACATGAAGCTGCTTTTGATTCACTGAATTTTGGTGTTGTAGCTGTCTGTTTTGGTTGAGGGCAGCTTGTCAGTAGCTCTGTTCTGTTGTTGTTGATGTCATGTGCTGTTGCAGTCTGGTTGTTGCTGTAGCAGTGTGTTGTTGGTGTTGCTGTTGTACCCCTGTTTCTGTTCTGATGTTGCCTTGTTACTGCTGCAATCTATTTCAGGTTCTGCTATGCTGGTTTCTAGCTGCTGCTTTTCTGGGTCTGCTGTTTTGCAGCTGAGGCAGTCTGTGTGTTGTTGCTGGTTTTGCTGCTGTAAGTTGCAGTTGTGCTGTTGCAGTGCTGGTCCTGCTCTGTCGCTGCTGTTCTGCTGTTGCAGTGCTTGTGCTGCTCTGTTTTGCTACTGTTGTTAGGTGGCAGCTGGTGGTTCTGGTTGTTGTTCCTAGCTGCTGCTGCTGCTCTGGGTGGCAGCTGGTGGATTGTTGTTGTTCTGCTTGCTGCTGCTCTGTTGTTGTTGCCTAGTTGTTGGTTTTTGGGGGTGTTAAGACTATTTGGGAACAGATTTTGAAGCTTCTTGATGTGAAAAAAGCATTTCAACCTTTTCACATTGAACAGCAATGGATAGTTAAGAATTGTAGGAAGTCGAGCAGCAAGGGTAGAGTATACTCTATGTGTTTTGCTGAGGCTATCTATAGGATATGGCTGCAAAGGAATAGTCTGATGTTTACGGTTGACTGTAAACCTTCAGAAACTGTCTTTCATAACATTATTTATCATGTTGTTGTTAGGTGTAAATGAACAGACATGAAGCTGCTTTTGATTCACTGAATTTTGGTGTTGTAGCTGTCTGTTTTGGTTGAGGGCAGCTTGTCAGTAGCTCTGTTCTGTTGTTGTTGATGTCATGTGCTGTTGCAGTCTGGTTGTTGCTGTAGCAGTGTGTTGTTGGTGTTGCTGTTGTACCCCTGTTTCTGTTCTGATGTTGCCTTGTTACTGCTGCAATCTATTTCAGGTTCTGCTATGCTGGTTTCTAGCTGCTGCTTTTCTGGGTCTGCTGTTTTGCAGCTGAGGCAGTCTGTGTGTTGTTGCTGGTTTTGCTGCTGTAAGTTGCAGTTGTGCTGCTGCAGTGCTGGTCCTGCTCTGTCGCTGCTGTTCTGCTGTTGCAGTGCTTGTGCTGCTCTGTTTTGCTACTGTGGTTAGGTGGCAGCTGGTGGTTCTGGTTGTTGTTCCTAGCTGCTGCTGCTGCTCTGGGTGGCAGCTGGTGGATTGTTGTTGTTCTGCTTGCTGCTGCTCTGTTGTTGTTGCCTAGTTGTTGGTTTCTGGGGGTGTTGTCCTGGTTGCTGCTGTTAGCAGCTGGCTCAGTTGCTGTCTGGCTCTGTTGCTGTTCCTGGGGTGCTGATTTTGCTGCTCTTGGGTTGGCTTTTGCTTGTTGGTTATAGCTTCGGTTTCCTTTGCTTTTAGGGGTTCCGTAGTTATTGTCATTGCTTTGCCTTCGGGCTTTGGTTTTGGTGTTTGTTTGGCCCAGAGGGCATGTAATGCACTTTCATATCTTGTAGTTTGTTGCTAGTGTTGTTGTCTGGTCCTGGTTTCCAGAACCCTTCCTAGAAGGTGGCTAGGATAGGATCTAGAACTGGTTTTGGGGGGTTGGCCTGTTTTTTCATGTCTTGTGGTGTTCTGGTGGTAGTTATAACTTAGCTCTTGTAAGTTGTAACTTTCTTTCTTTGGTAATAAAATCTTATTTACCAAAAAAAATAAATATATCTTGTATTTGTTAAATTATTTCCTTTATTGCTCTCTTGATATACTTCATGGATAGATTAATTTTTTAATATGCATAGTTGATATCCTATATTGATTTATGATATCATAAATTATGATTCATGATTTACTCTATTTGTTTTTTGATATCCTTTGTTGTCATTTGTAATGTCCTCTATTTACTCTTTTGATATGTTCCATGTCATTGATGATTTCGTTTTACACTAATTAAATTTTTTATTGTTTTAATAATATCGTGTAGTGTTTTTTCAGATATTTTTTCCTGTTCATAAGCACAATCATTTTGCAAATATTATTGTTAATACTATTGGAAATGAGAAAAGAAGACCTACAGTTGAGATCATTGACAACCGAAGGGATAATATTATAAAATATAAGGGTAGAGATGATCTGTTGGTAAGTATTTTTCATATGATCTGTAGGTTATATGTTTTATCTTCCATTATTAACTTCAATATTTAATTATGGAAAATTTGCAAATTGCAGCCATTTAAAGTTTGTATTTTGCAAACTGCAGCCATTTAAATTTTTTTTTGCAAATTGCAGCTCAAAAGTTCGTATAAATTGTAAATTGCAGCCTAATTCAATTTTTTCATCGGTTTACATGTTGAAAAATCTTCGGTTAAGGCTTTAGGGGTCATTTCAGCCCTTAGGGGCCCGAATTGAGCTCGGAATTAGAAAAAAAATAACGTAAGTGTCTCATATTTACAGTTTCAACAAATTGATACATTTTTGTTACGCAAAACGAGATACTTGTGTTATTGTTTTGCTAATTCCGAGCTCAATTCAGACCTCGGAGGACTAAAATGGCCCCTAAAACCTTAATCGAAGATTTTTCAACTTGTAAACCGATGAAAAAGTTAAATCGGGCTGTAATTTATAATTTATATGAACTTTTGGGCTGCAATTTGCAATTTATTATTTAAATGGCTGCAATTTGCAAAATACAAACTTTAAATGGCTGCAATTTGCAAATTTTCCTTTAATTATTCATGTAGATTGATGTTGGGACATTCAGCTGCTCCAAAAGTTTTCAAAAATCCTATTTTTTTAATCTAAGAAACCGTGGCATTGAGTATCTTAATTTTAAATGGAGGTCATCCAACGAATATTTTGATTGTGGTCTCTATTTAATCAAAGTTATGGAGTTATATAATGGTGACCGCAATGAAACTCTATCAGAATTGAATTCGGTAATATATTACTTTACCTTTTGTATTCTTTTAATTATGTCTTTTATAGTATAAATGATATCCTCTGTTGTGTTTTTGCTGTCCTCTATTCTTTTCATAATGTCTTTTATTCTGTTGATGATGTCCTGTATTCTGCTGATCATGTGTTATATTATTTTGATAATTTCCTCTAATATTTTGATGATGTCATGTAATATATTATGTGATTTCCTCTATTGTGTTGTTCATGTGTCTTTTTCTAATATCTTTATCTTGTGTCTATATCCTATATTTTGTTGCGGATTTATTTTATTCCTTCATATTATATTCTGTATTGATATAGATGATATCATATTAACTTACACTATGTGTGCATTTTTTATCTAAATTGATGATATGATATGTTATAGTTTAACTTAATTTTATTTTTATCTTTTCTAATTTTTTTTTTCATTTTTCTTTTTTGCAGAAAGTCTATAGGAAGATTTTTAGATGTAAACTGGCTTTGGAGTTGGTATTTAGCCCTTTAAACATCTATGCTAATGCTATTCGAGCGGATTGTAGAAACTTTTGTCTAAAGAAAAAAGACATTCTTGCAAATCAGAAAATTAGAAAGAAAGAGGAAGATTTGTTTTATACTGAGCAAGCAAGAATTGAAAGAGAAGCCAAAGCTTTATTACAAAACTTAGTAAACAGCATAAACTTGAATCAGACAAACATTAAAATTTGTAATTTAATATATATATATATATATATATATATATATATATATATATATATATATATATATATATATAATTTTGTAATAGATTTTAATTGTAATTATGTTACAGATTAGTGTATGGAGGATATATTTTAATAATTTGAGGGTATCATTTGTTTGATGATATATACATAATATCTTGTTTCGTTTTACTGTTATGTGTTATAGTAAATATGATGATGTCTTTTATTTTGTTGACGAGGTGCTGTGTTTTTGATGATGTCTTAATTTTTTATTATGTTGATAATGTTGGATATTAATGTCTTGAATCGTTTTTTTGATGTCCTTTATTACATGAATGATTTCTTCTATTCTCCTTATGATTTCATATATTACTTTGATGATGTCCACTATTATTTTTATGTTGTCCTATGTTGTGCCTTATATATCCTCTATTTTATAAATGATACACATTTTACGTTAAATTATGTGTCAATTATAATAATCTGGGTTTGGTATATGATAAATATGATACAGAATATATATATATTGTCAATTATATTATAAATAATATGTAATTAATTATTTTTTACATATATTGCAGGATAAATAATAGAAATAATACTATATTGGACAAAAGGGACATAGTCAAATGTATTATAATATTATAGAAATATTGTTCAAAACATATCTAAATTAGTTGTGGATTTAGAGTTTTTGTTCCAAATTCATTAGCATGTCTTGTAGCTGTCTTTCGCTTCTCAAAGTGACCTCTAATTCTCTTGTTTCTTCCAGGTGTCCTTCCTTTTTTTTTTGACGTAAAGGATCAGGTGTTGTTTTTCTTCTTTCCTCTTCTTCATTGATTTCCTTGATCTTTTCTTCATCAGTCTGAAATACTTTCTTGACTGCCTTATACATTTTGTCAAGAGATTCATCACACACTTTTTTAGCATCATCATTTTTTTGACAAATGTATACTAAATTATAGAAATTTCTTGCAATATTGTGTCTCCATGGAGTATCTATCATGGTAGCAACTTCTTCAACATTTCCTGAAAATTTTTTAAATAATAATTCAGTAATCATATGAAATATTATTTTTCTAATACATAATATCATATTAATTACATTATTTTAAATAACATACCTTGTTTGTCTTCCCAAATACTTGCTTTTACATTTTTTTTCCATCTTTTCATAATGTGGAGGAATGGTGAATACATTATGCATATGCATTACCCTAAGTATATGAAAACAAATAATACTTGTTCATATAAACATAAGTAACATATTATATCATCATCAGAATATAAGATATCAAATATTACATAGACTACATTATCAAATAGAATACATTACATCGTCATGATGATTATAATTTACATTATATAAGAAATAATAAACTGAATACAATATAAGGTAAATTAAAAATAAGGTTCTATAATTAACATAATTCAGGAACAAGAATATACCTGTTTCATTAAAATATAAGCAGGAACATGCAAATTCCTTCAGATCTGCACTGTAAAATACACTACTATTGTATTTGAAATCCTCATTCAAAGACACTTCAAACATCTTTAGACCAGCTGTCATTTCATTTGACACATCTCTAATATAGGATCTCATGCTTATCTCATATTCCTCTTCAAAGTCTTTAAAAATGTTGAGAGTGTAAATATCAGCAGCCTGTTTTAAGAGTTTGCATTTGGTCTTTGGTTTTTCTATTCTACATCTAAAGTTGTCTGCCTTTTCATTGCTTCTCCATCTTTCAACTGTAGCTTCAAATATATAAAAGAATTCATATAATGAAGTTGTTTTGTTGGCCTTGAATGATATTGCTCTATTTGTAACTTCAGATCTTTGGGAGGACAAAATTCCAGCTGAAAAAATGTCTTTGCTAAACACAGGACACCATTTCTGTTTTAGGTTATACAGTCTATCAAACCACTCTTTTTCATCTAATCCATACTTTTGAACCATATATTTCCAACTTTCATCAAATTCTTTCTCATCATCACATCCAAATAAGCATTTGTCAAACATGTTCTTAAAATCTTCATTGCTTTTCAGCTGGCGAAATCTTGATATAAAGTTCTTTTGCAGATGCCACAAACACAACCTATGTCTTGTGTTTGGAAGAACCTAAAATATTTATATAATTAAAATAATAAATTATATAATTTGAGGATATAATCTTTATTTTATAGGATACTATAAAGCCTTAAGAGGATACCATTAACATTATGGATGATATCACACTTTTTAGAGTATATCATAATGTCTAAATTTTCATTCATTTCCTGTAGAATATCATCTATTTTTTAATGATATACTTCATTCAAAAGAAATTGATAAACTTCATTCTGCAAAAGAATTATATATATCATCTTTGAAGAATATCTTACCTTTTCAATTGCATTGCTCATTGCTTGATCTTGATCAGTAAAAATGGTCTTTGGTTGTGCTATAGCCATTGACTTTTTGAATGTTTCTAGTACCCATTCAAAAGTGTCTGCAGTTTCATTAGTTATAAAAAGCACAACCAAACATTGTTGTTCTCCAATCACTAGTAAAAAAAAATGCTATTTGTAACTGGCGAAATTGACTTTTTGTAACTGGCATTGTTGGTTGCGAATGCCACCGTTACAATTAGTGAAAATTATTCGTAACTGGCTAATGTTGGTTACTAATAATGTACTATTCGCAACTGGCTTAACCTAACGCCAGTTACAAATAGCCTATTTTCCAAGTTAGAAAGCATACTATTCGTAACTGGCGTTGAGTTACGCCGGTTACAATAAGGGTATTATTTGTAATTGGCGTAGCCTAACGCCAGTTACGAATAGTTTTTTTTTGTTAAAAAAAATAATCTATTAGTAACTAGCATTAGATTAAGCCAGTTACTAATAAATATATAATTTTTATTTTGATCAATATTTGATTTGAATACATGCTTGGTAGTATTTTCTACCGAACGACCCATTGTCAAATGGATTAAAACCTGTTACAAATCAACCAAAAAAACACATATTCCAAATGGTTCCACATAATTTGAATTCACCCACAAAATACAATACAATAAACACTCCAAATAATTTCACACAACTTGATTCATCCACAACAAACAACAAAATAAACTATATTTTCCACAAAACAATTAAAACTTGAATAAAAAATTATTGATTTACAATTTAGGAATATACGTAATAACAATAACTATTAAGCTAAATAAAAGTAGTCATATAGAAATGTGTTATATTGTTTTATTAAGCTAAATGCGATTAATCATAACATTGATCAATAAAATAACTAGTCTTTCAACAAAAAATTAAGTCTACAAGAATACCCCTTGTTCTCGAGTCTCGTCCAATTCTATATCGTTGTACGCTGTAAATCTTGCCAAACTTAGCCCATTGTTCTCGAAACTCATCCAATTCTAGTAGTTGCTGTATTTTTTTCTTGCTACTAAGTTCCTATTCCTCTAGCACAAGCAAACTTTCAATTGATAAAAAATTTGAAAAAAGAGAAAAAAATTAAATAAAATAAAAATAAAAATAAAAAGAACTATTACCTAGAGTGTTAGGGGTAGATGGCGCAAGATTCATCTAAATGTTCTTCAGCATTAGCTTCTGAATACTTCTCCAATATCAATACTTTGATTTGATGTCCCAAGATATCTTACAGACATAACCCACTTGTAGATGCACATCATTTAGAAACAAATGAAAAGGTCCAAAGATTAGATGATACATAATATTGTCAACCTCAAAAGAAAGAGGATTTGTACAAGATGTCCTTCATGAAGGACATCTGTAGACACCCATTTGTGTCTCCACAAAACCAAACCCGGTGATGAGTACCTTTCGCGTCGAATCATAATCGAATGAAGTGAAAGTGTGGAAAGTCTAGTGTTGCGAATAGTTTTAATTTCTTTTCTCTTCTCTCTGTTTTTGAAAATTTATTTTAAGAAAACAGCCAATCCAGTTTGGTTGGTCCATGATATGGGTCCAATAATATTTTAGTTTGATGGGGCTTGACAAGAGCTTTCCAACGATATATTATAAGCCCAATTCCGATGAATATTGAGGAAGTTATGACCAATTAACTAAACTGGGCCCGGTTTGAGCCTTATATGCGGCCCAATGATCTAGGGGAGGGCCTAATATGGATTTATCATTCCCAATGCAATTAGGAATGGTTTTAGTCTTCTAGATTCTTCTAGAAGGTTCTTTTCATTCCTAGTTCAATTAGCATTGATAAATTGACTTTTGTTGACTTTTCAAAGTTTTAATTAAAATCAAAGAGCATTTTTGAGGGAAATACGATTTTATCCTCATATACGGCAATTTTTATCTGATTTTAAGAAAACGCGTGAATTTCCAGATCAGCGCCAAACACCAGCTGTAGCGCCTGGCGCTACGCTTGGCGTCTGGCGCTAATGTTGGCGTCTGACGCCAATAGCCAGCGTTGGCGCCAATCCAGTTTTAGGTGCGCCAGAACTCTGTTTTGATATTTTATCTTTTTAGCTGATTTTCTTTATAAATAATGTCGTAAAAACTCCGTTTTGGATAACCAGTTTTCATCAATAATCATCAATTCTCACCAACTCTCGATTACTCTCTCTCTCTCTCTTTTTTTTCTAAACTAGTCTTCTCTCAAATACAAAATTCCGCATTCGTAAGATCTAGATACACCTAGTCATATTCGAAGTTGCCTTCGCCCTAGACGTGAAAGGTTTAATTTATGAGGGTATGGTCCCAAATCTCTCTTTCAATTATTTGATTTAATTGTTTTGTTTATTATTTTCCTTGAAGTTACTAACGTGTATATTTTGTTATTAGAAAAAGGTACGAGGCATCAAAGTAAGTTCTTCAATTGTTTTTATTGATATTATGATATAGAAATCATGTCTAGGTTGTTATTATGATTTCTAGTATCATGTTAGGATGCTTGATGTTTTGAATGACAACAATGATTCCTAGTATTATGTTTAGGGAAAAGGTTATAATATCAAATATGATAATTATAATTCATGCGATGCTTCCTATGTTCTTTCTAATATTTATGATAGTTAGTATCATGTTAGGGTTTAAGATTTGGTTTTTATTGCTTAGTGACATGCTAGGATTTGTTATTAATTTTGTTAGTATCATGCCTAGGATCTTATTATTATTATTATTATTATTATTATTATTATTATTATTATTATTATTATTATTATTATTATTATTATTATTATTATTATTATTATTATTATTATTATTATTAATATTATTATTATGTTGCTTGATATTTATTGTTATTGCTTGATCACACCTTTTATGCATGTTTAAAGGGAATTGGTACTTGTAATCACGCTTAATAAGATAATTAATAATCTTGTTTAGGGTTAATTTGATTATAATTCAAGTGATTGCCAATAATAGATTTATTTGTGCATTAAATTCAAGGAAAATTGTAAATTAATAATCCCACCTTTAGGTGGTCTTCCACAAACAATCCCACCTTTCTAAAATCCAGAAACAATCCCACCTATTCCCCCTATCTTCCATTAACGATCCTTTTTACAGGTTACCCCTTAAACCGGTGAACCTATTCTATTTCCCTCCCTAAAGTCTTTCTTCTCCAACGGTTTTCCCCCAAAAAAACATAAGTTTCGCCATTTTTATGAAACAAAGTAACAATTAAAAAAAAAATTAACTTTCAGAAACTTATCTTCATCGAAAGGACTGCAATTGTTCATTGATTGAAGGAAATTAAGGTCCTTAGCACAGCAATTCAAGGTGGGCTAATTAGAGGTAAATTTTCGACAAACCCTAGCTTTCTTAAATTTGCAAATTAAAGCAATTAAACGAAGATAGCTTCGATTAACATAGTGAAGAGTAATTTAAGTAGTTATTAACATAGTGAACAGCTTTAGGATCTTCAGACTCAACTGCATCTTTGTAAAGCTCTTCAACTCCCAAACCATATTCATTTTTCACTGCAAATCTCACCAACGGCATCTTCTTCTTCAACCCTAGAAGATAACAGCTACGACGCCGAAATGGGGATAACCCCAGATGATTTTAACAAGAATTGATAAAACCCCAGATGAAATTAATGGGGAAAAACAGAAATTAAACTAACCCCAGATGATTTTTATGGGAAAATACAGGAATTCAGTAAACCCCATATGATTTTAATGGGGAAAAATAGAAAGTAAACTAACCCCAGATGATTTTAATGGGAAAATACAGAAATTGAAGTAACCCCACATGATTTAAATAGGGAAGAATAGAATTTGAAGTAACCCCAGATGAAACTAATAGAGAAGAACAGAAATTAAACTAACCCCAGATGAAATTGATGGGAAAAACAGAAATTGAAGTAACCCCAGATGATTTAAATGAGAAAAACAGAAATTGAAGTAACCCCAAAAAATAATTTGTTAGGGATAAATAGAAATTGAATGAATCAAAAAGATGGTAATGATGGATTACTGTACGAAGTGGGGAAATTGATTAAGATTTAACAAACAATGCAATAAATATGAGAAGAAGAGAGAGAAAGTAGTAGGTAGCAAGAAAGGAGCAGCTGAACTGCAAATTGAAGGATGAATTTGTTGGTTTATAGTATTTGGAAAGAGCAAAATAGCAGAAGCAAAAGTAATACAAATTACTAGTTAAATTAAATTAGAAGAAACCGGTTGTTCTAAGCAATCTAATTTTTTAACCGGTTTCAACAGGTGAAGGATCGTTAATGGAAGATAGGGGGAATAGGTGGGATTGTTTCTGGATTTTAGAAAGGTGGGATTGTTTGTGGAAGACCACCTAAAGGTGGGATTATTAGTTTACAATTTTCCTAAATTCAATTAACATAGATTAAACATGTTTAAGGTTAAACCTATTAATCGCATGTTAGTCAGAAAGCGCACATGAATACGATTTGAATAAAGTAGAGGCCTATTATTAGGACAGATTTAATCTCTTTTAGGTAGGATTTGTACCTTTATCCCCGAACCCTATTTGGTTCAAGATCTTATGGAGTTGACGATCTCTTGGATCGTTAAGGGGTGTAACCTTCACCTCGTGAACGGTTTACAAGTTCCTAAAAAACTTGTTGGCGACTCTTTTGCTCTATCTTCTTTCTTTTTGGACGCCACCGTACTTTAGTGTATGATCACAGTGGGTTCAAGCTAGGGGATTAACGCTTGAAATATCCCCTACAACATCAGTAGATCTTAGCAACAAGCAATGAAACTGCAGGACATCACGAGACTTTCACCTCAAATTAGTATAAGATAATTAGATAACAAGTCATAATCATAGTACTCGACAAAATGAAGGAAAGATTAACTTATGAGCAATGACGAGAAAATTAGTCAATTTTTAAGCAATTAAATACACATAGCATATAGAATTCAGATAGAAAATGAAAAAAAAAAAAAAAATCAGGTTTGTAATGCATTGAAATGACAGGCTCAATAACTAATCTAGATTCACACAAAAAAAAATTTCCCTTTCTTTTTGATTGGTCGAACAATGTCTTATCCAACAAAGAAGGAATAACTTGCCATGAGCATACAACCAAGATGTTAGAAATGCACTAAACGTAGTATGTGTGTTAGACCCTTATAATTTAGGATGCCAAAACTCAAGCCATAGACAAGAACAATTTTACATAGTTTTATGGTCAGTTCCTGATTTATACAAATTATACCTTCCCCTGTTATACAAATTATGTAGAATCTAAACAAGCAACCCAATAAGAATTCCCAACTATATAGAAAATAGGAACCATATTACAAGTGACATTACCTCTAACCAAGACAAAACTTCTACCTCCGGTCCACATACTCCACGACACCTACCAAACAATGCATTTGTCTAATCAAAAATTAAATCTTTTCTAACAATTTAAACAATCAACACTATCCAATCTCAAATACCAAACTCTTTCAAAACAAATCAATAATTACAAGGGATACATTGAACAATATATACCTTATTCATCTTCTCAAAGGAAAGTAGGAAACAACCCACCACGAAACCCACCTTTTGATAGCCTCCCCTGCAACTGCAGCAAACCAATTAGGCCACCTAACATCAACCTTCTCTCCTTCTACAGACACCGGTATCAAATCGTCCCAATCGATAATGACGGAATACAAGCAATAAAATAAGGGTACCTCTCAAAAGTAGATGTTCTTAATCCTGGTTCACTATGAAACCCGAGTTTGCACTAGCAAGTAATTAAAATCAAACTTCCATTAAATTGAATATAATGAGTAGTCTATTCATGAATTGAATATAGCCTCGTCTGCCATGATTTATACACACAATATGCGCACAAAACAAAGCAAAAATCGCAGCACAACTTGGAACAAAATCGCACACAAACAGCAATAACTATTAACTCGGACTAAAACTGACACAGTTGCGGAAAACAGTCCAGTTTAATAGCAAAAGAACTCGAAAAATTCTGAAATTTTGCAGGAAGAAAGTAGACAAAATTTCACTCAAATTAAAAAAAAAACCACCTAAAAATACCTCGTAACGAAGGAGAACGAGCTTTCTGAAGTTAATCGAGCAAACTGATCCTCCGAGAACAAGTACGACTGATCAATAACTTTAAGGGGTTATGCAAGCAATAAAATATCAAAATCTGGAAGTGTTGGCTATTGTTATTTAAAAGATACTTCTAGGTGCACACTGCATTGTGAGCTATCAAGTATTTTTTCCCCTTCTTTTATAGTTCGAAAATTCGGTTCTGATTTTCATTTCTGAATTCAGTTCTGAAATTCAGCTCATGTTAATCTTCATGTCAATCTATCAATATAAAAGTTAAAAACTATAGGAAGATATTGAGATTCTAACCTATTCACCCTAAACAAACTTCATGAATTAAGGTTGAGCATCATTTACTTGCAATTCATAGCCACACCGCCGGTGAGTTGAAAATGCTATAATATGCTATTGGACTAGCAAGAGTTTCACGTGAAAACTTAAAAGAAACTTCAACAACCAAGAAAAGGAGAGGCTACAACATATGTTACCTCAAATTTACTTCGAATTTTCTAGAATAAAACGCTGCAACATTAACATCAATATCGGCATCATCATTAACCCAATATACGAAGAGGCTCCTGCCCAATGCAACCTAAGAATGTAAGAGGGACCTAGACATACTATACACATAGGATTACACTTGTGATCAGGAAGCCATTTCCAAGCAATTCTAGCTTCAGTTGATTAGTCCAATTTACTAGTGGTTACTCACATTTACAGAATAGTAGGGACTACAACATTTCATTATATATCTTCCTTTGTTTGATTCTCGTCTTTGATTTCACATCATCATTTGACAAGTAACTGTCACTATATTACAATTCCACAAGTGTTGGTTCTAATATGTTTTCACAATAAATTAATTATGAATGAGTAGCCCACATTATCATTTAGTAGCCTTTGTATATGAACATACCGGAGCATTATGCAGGAAACATTTTGGTATCAAATTCCAAATCAAAAACAGATCATCAGTAATATGCATGATTAAATACAACGACAGACACATATAACCATTCCACGATTGCATAATTACACATCCAAGCAGGCATGCACACTAATTCGATCAGGAACATAAAGAAAAATGATCATCTTTAGTAACCCTGTAATCCAGATTATAGCATATTTAGAACTAATAATGCATCAGATACCAGAACAAGCATATAATTATCCCTATCCCTATACATCTCAAGAGTCACATTCAGCCTTATCCATCAAACCATTGATCCAACAGTAAAAAATGAAAATTAAACAAATAAACAAATCAACAAAAAGTACCAAGACAAATTGAAAAGATGTTTTAAATCATCATAAACTTCGACAAATTCTAATGGTGCAATATCAAAGTAAAATTCCAAATTATATAATCAAATTTAACTCCTACTCCATTTGTTTAATAAATTTGGGCTCTATTGGTTTTAAAGGGTGAAAAGAAGGCATGTCACATTGGCAATTTGATGTGAAATTAATCAGCTAACAAAATTCAATTCGATTTTTAGGGCCGTTATTGAATTAAAAAAGGGGTAATTACAAGAACCCTAATTCTAAAATTACATACCTTTAAACCTCAATAGAAGCACTATTGCTGAACCCAAATTCGAAAATCAGCAAAGAAATTGTGATAGAAAATCGTTGGAGAAGCTGAGGAGGAAGACGTTCGTCGTTATGGACGAGAACCTTGCAAGAACAAAATCGAAATTACTCAGCTAACTGATCAACAACAAAATTTAAATCGAATTTTAAGGCTATTATTGAATTCAGAAAGGGAAAATTACAAGAACCATAATTCGAAAAACCAAAACAATACTGAATGGAGCGAGTTGGAGAAAAGGAGAAATTATAAGAGGAAGAAGGAGAAGAGCATATATTACACCCCCCCCCCCCCCCCCCCCCCCCCCCCCCCCCCCCCCCCCCCGCGCTGCCAAATGCCCCAAAACAGAAATCATGACACCCAAAGATACACTACTTTAGTTGTTACACTAACAGCCCAAAGTATTGCCTTTGAGCAACAAAAGAAGTGTAACAGTGCATCTTAAATTCTAAAAACATTCAACTGATCAAAGATAATTTGCTTTCGAGATTGCAGATCCATAACTTACCGATATGTCAATCAAAAGGCAATACCAACTTATAAAATACATATACAGCATGTATAATAAAGAGAGAGCATTCGTAATTAGGATCAATACCTTCTTCATCTCCTGCTGGTATTCCAAAATTTTAGGTTCAGTAACAGTCCGGAGTAATTTAACTAGAAAGCCATACTTCACTGATGAGTTGGTATCTACAAATATTGCGATTTTCTTGTAGTCTATGACATCTTCAAAAGGCAATTCGATATGGTCACTGATTATAACTGGAATGCACAGGCTTACAATGGCATCAAAGAGACGGCAAGTGGATGGAGTATCGCCAGCAGGATGCAAGCAGAACCTTGATGTGTGCATTCCTTGTGTAGCTGCACGTCGACTCTCTCTAGACTGTGCACCATGCTTTATAACAACATCGTCTTCATTCTCAAGAATTTCAAAAAGCACATCACGAATCTTTCCACCCTGAAAGCAAGATCAGATGAAACACATAAATTCACAGGGACTAAAAGAACACAAAACCTCATAACCAACTCCCTGCATCATCCATCCACTCCTGAAAGGGCTGAAACATATATACATCAATAAAAGAACAGGTCACAGCCCTGCTGACTGCTGAGTTGTCTGAAACCCAATCAAAATGATCAGCTATCGAATGTGCTCAGCTCAACACTCTCCTTCCAACCCTTTTTCATCACTTCATAGGAAAAATCTATGCATACATAGTTAAATGATTAAATAATAAGGAATTATTTATCATTGACATTGATACATGATGTTCATGTCACCGGACGATTGGAAGCCAATACCCCAACAGTTCCTAAATTAAAGGATCATACCTTATTTGATTTATGGTTTCTATCATTCTCTCTTTCCATCACATGGACCCTCTCCATATCCTCATTATCTCTCTCTACCTCACTGTAATAGATTCAAGCCAAGCACAGCCAAAAACAGAGAAATGCAATAGAACAGTAACGAGAAGTTGGAGTAAAAGGAAAAAAAAATAAAAAGTTTCAGCCTTATGTTTATTAAAATAGAGGGAAAAAAATAGCAGGAAGAAAAAAGGAAAACAGGGATGAAGAAATTTACTGAAATTGAAAAAAAAATACAGGAAACAAAGTATAGCAAGAAGAAAAAGGGGAAAACAAAGTAGAAGGTAGGGATAGATAATAGAACAACATCGTTTGACCCTTGGAGTATCATGCTCACAGTACTCCAGGAGTAGGGTAGAAATTGCGTTTATTTTTAGCGAGAATATTTTCCACTAACTTCAATAAAAAATTAAATAAAATTAATAGGAATTAGTAATTTAATATTTGTAATTGGTGCTTATAACTTAGTTACAAACTTTTGGTCAAAGTTTCTTTGACTGAATATTTGTAACTGCCATTTGTAAGCTAGTTACAAATGTTTTGGTCAATATTTTTTTGACTTAATATTTGTAACTGACGTTCGTAAGCTAGTTACAAACTTTTTAGTCAAATCTTCTTTGACTTAATATTTGTAACTGACATTTATTTAGTCAATTACTAATAAACTTCAAACAATGATAAACCACATATTAGTAACTGACATTTACTACGCCGGTTACTAATGTCATGAAATTTGTAACTGGCATTATTTTAGTCGGTTACTATTAATGCTTTCGTAACTAGCATAACATACGCCAGTTACTAATATGGCGTTACAAATAGCATTTTTTCTACTAGTGAATGGTTGTTTACTCCAACAAATGGTGCACATATTAAACCATATTTGTTTGTTCTATATGTTGTATCAAATATTAATACATCTCCAAATGCTTTAAAATCTTCCAACATCATTTAATCACGCCAAAAATAGCTCACTATATAATCTTTTTCACCAAACTTCAATCTGTAAAATAAAGAAGGATCTGATTCTGCTCTCTGTTGTAGTGTGTCCAGGACACTTTGCATATCTCCTCCTTCTATTATGCTAGATTTGTACCTAGTCACATAGTTTAATAGATCTCTCTTTGTGTGTCCTAAAGATTCCTTTGATCCTATCTCTCTTTTAAGATATTCATAGCAATCCATTGGTTTAATTCCACTTTCTATCATCTTTTCAATCACCATTCCAATCTCTTCTTTAACACTTCTTTTAGAGTTCAAGTGATGTCTTTCCGAAGGATTAACCAATTCATGATTGTGTTTTATATTGTGTTGAATAACACAATATTCTCCAGATTCTATAATCTTGAATCTAATATTAGCTCTACAACCAGTTCTAGTCTCATTAACACTCCTTTCTTTTCTTTTCTTTGATGACTGTTTTTCCTCATCTATGAATTCTGAATTTGCTATCTCCTTTTCTTTTTTCTTTCTTTCTCTTATATAATCCTCTTTTGAGCAGCAAAAATAAAAATCAGATACTATTCAATCTGTTTTATTTCGCCTAACAGTATTTTTTCTTATATTGAATCCAATAGCTCTTGAATGAGCTTTATACATTCGGAATGCATCTTCACGATTATCAACACGTCTTCCCATCAAAGATAACTTGATATTTTCATCATTATCATATTTATAATATTCCAAATCTGCAATTTAAAAACATTTAAATAAATATATACTCTATGGTATTAATCATATCTTCTATTCTATTAATGATATCCTCTATTTTACGCAGCATATCTTTATTGTATGTGAATCATATCCTCTATATAACGCAGCGTATCCTCGTTTAATGTGAACAATATCTTCTTTTCAATATATGATATCCTCTATTCTATATATTATATCATCTATTGAATACAATATATTTTCTAGTGTTGACGTCCTTTATTTTATTTTCTCCCATAGTCATTAGCATTTATGATACCATTATTATAACTTAGGTCACATGTATTATTTGTTATATAAAATAAAGTAAAATTATCTAATAATCTATTTTTTACTGAGATTTTTTATCAAATTATATAATCTCTAAGGTTCTATTTAGTACAATAAATTCATTACAGAATTATAAGCAATCAATTTAGATTAGAATACCTATTTTTTCAGATGTTACAGTAGATTCATTAGGAGAACTTGTTGATGCTTTTTTGAGATCATTCTGTGCTTGTTGAACATTTGATTGAATTTCTGGAGCATTTATATGAATATTACAATAAATTCATCAATAGAATGTTAAGCAAAAAATTTAGATTAGAATACCTGTTTTTTCATAAGTTACAGTAGATTCATTTGGAGAATTTTTTGATATTTTTCCATGATCATTTTGTGCCTGTTGAACATTTGATTGAATTTCTGGATAATTTGTTTCATTTTATTCGATCTAGTTTGTACAATTTTTTGATGTTGATACAGTAAAATTCGGTGAAATTGATTGATTCTTTTGATATGTTTTTGCATTTCGTTCATCATTTGCTAAGTTTTCCTCCATCGATTTGTTGATTTTTTTTTTATCAAAAATGAGTAATAGCGTAAAAACCTAGATTATTGTTTTGACTCAGTTTCTATATATAAGTCATGAGCTTGTTTTGGTTTGGGCTTAAAACACGCGATTTTTTTTTTTGTTATATATGTTAACTATTTGTTAAAAATGATATATGGTTTTTTTATAAAATGTTTAAGAAATTACTGTTTTTATTTTTCGAAATATAATATATGCTTCAACTTTTGTTATAAATACATTTTTGTAGTCTTATTTATTTAATTTATCTAACGATTATATTAACCATATTAAGGAACAACATATTAGTTTAAAAATATATAATATATAAATTTAGGATATAATATTTTAGTGTAATAATTTGTTTTAGGATATTCAACATATTATTAACGAATAACATATTAGTTTTAGGATATTCAACATATTAATTGAGGATATGATATACATTTTTTATTATTTGTATAACTTTATTGAGGATATAATTTATTAATATTTGAATTTGTTATCTGAATTGAGGATATGGTATATTATTGTTTAACTAAATTTGAGGATATGTTTTTCTCTATTGAGGATATATTTTATAAATAATAGGAAATGATTTGTATGTGTGAGGTTGAATTTTTGTTAATTGAGTACATGCTTAAAACACTATATATTAAACTATACTACAAACATTAGATTATATCCTCCAATCTTTTCTTAATATCCATTAAATAGGGTACAAAATAATCATAAAAAAAACATCAATTTTAATACATCTAAAATAACATTAATCATACATCTTTCGAACATAAAATATTTAAATATTTAATCATATTCTTATTCTTACCAGGTTTAAAGAACACACTATGACATTGTTACTGCATTTTCCATACTTTTTCTACCCAAAACTACACATTTTTTGTTTGAGCCTGAATGATAAACCCTACAAAAACCAATCTCTCATTTCCCAAACTCTCTAACCACATTCCTACTTTTAAAGATAGGATGTGTTAGAGGATTTGGGAAATGAGAGGGTGATTTTTGTAGGGTTTGTCCTGCAGGGTTAAAAATAAAAGACGTTGTATTTTAGGTAGGAAAAATTAAAGAAATGCAGTCACCATTTCCTAGTGTGCTCTCAAAACCAGATAAAAAGAAGAGATACAATTATAGATGTACTTTGATGATTGACCAATCACCCACTTATTTTTCTGCATGTCCTTTGAAATTTCTTCAGAAGCCTCTCCAATAGCTTCAATATCATCTTTCCATGTTTTCTTCTTTTTCTCTTTAACAAGATTTTCAATCTTGTTCACTTCTTTTGTTAATTCAATACAAAGGTTTTCCTCAGCATTGCATCGATCAATTGCTCCCTGTAATTTACCCTTGAGAAAACTTAATTGAATTTCCATCGATTTTATATCGATTTTTTCATCATCTATTGAATCATATTTCTTTTTATTTTGAGATGATTTTTTGTTTTCCATGTTTCCTCTTTTTTTTTATTAAAATTAGATTTAGGGTTTTTGGAATTGAAGAAAAATGAAAGAAAATTGAAGGAAGCATAGATTTGGATAGATGAGAGGAAAGTGTACTATATATAGGGTGGCGTCAAGTTTTAGGTTTAAGTTTTTTTTATTATTTTTTTTATTAAACAACGTGTCATTTTATTTTTTTTGGTGAAACCACGTGTCGCTTAGTTTAGGATAAACTTTTTTGAATAATATTAATATTTTGTTGAAGATATTTTTAAAAATAATTATATTTTATTTAGATATTTCTAATTTTCTGTACCATTGAATAAAAGATGAAAATCATATCCTTTGTTTACATAGCAATATCCTGATTTCATATATTTGTTTGTTAATAATACTTATGCTATTAAATGTATAAAAAAATGTCCTTTATAATTATTATACAAAATTACATCTATGCTCTACTATGGAAAACATATCCTGTGATTAATAATTTATATCCTCTCATAAATTTATTATATTCTTAATTGTTATAAAACATATCCTTTTAATAATAGGATATAACAATATATTTTATTCTTTATTGTTATAAAATGAAATATATATCCTTCTTATTGATTGGAAACCTATCCTTGTATATATAATTTGTATCTTGTAATGTATAAATGATACTCTTATATTAATATTATCCTTTTATAAATAATATATACAGTATAATTGAAGAGGTAACAAATGGTGCAATATTTTTAGAAAAGAATTCTCCTAAATTGGTGATATTTTGTATCAGGTAAGTGCTTTGAATTTTTAACTGTCAATTTTTTGAATGTTATCTTTAATACTACAACCTGTCCAGTATAATGCACATACTACAGAGGATTTATCTAAATCCTTTTAATCTTAAGAGAGTTTTAGAAGATACTATCTAATCTTTAGAAAATATCATCTAAATTTCATATGATATCATTTAGTTTTACACGGATATCTTTTAAATTTTGGAGGAAATGATCAAGTTTTTGAATGTTATACCTAGTTGTTAGAAAATGTCTATAAACTTTAAGGGCATAATAATTATATCATGCAATCTTAATAGGTTATCTTTTAATATTTAGAGGATATCATACAATATTTAATAATATTTGAATATATCATCCATTGATTTGAGGGTATCATTGAGTTTCACTAGGTTATCAACTACTTCTTATAAGAAATCAAACTATATCATCCTTAGACTATATAAATATCTTCTTAAAATTGTTAAAAGATATCTATATATTAAAGGATACCATCTAATCCGTCAAGGACATCATACAATCTTAATAGGTTATCATTCAATATTTAAAGGATATCGTCCAATAGTTACTTTTTTAGATATATATCGTGAAATATATTAAAGATTTTATTGAGTTTCACTAGGTTATCATCAATTTCATCAAGGATATCATTTAATATTTGACAATATGTTCTAATTTTTTGAAGAAATTGTTAAGTTTTTGAAGGTTATCATCTATTTTTTAGAGGATATCATAAATACTTTGAAAATACAATCTAAAATTTGAAAGAGAAACAAAGCATTTGACGTTTAGTATTAAGTAATGCACAATAATAATCATCAACAATTATATGTTTAAAACAGCAGGAATAAGAACATAAATTTTAAAATGGCTATACATGCCTAATCAATTCAATTATAATTACAAAGCAATGTCATGGTAGTGACAAATCCCTTCCATTTGTCACACACAAAAACCTTCTCTTCCATGACATTGCAATCTTAACATATTAATAATTTAACTACATCACAACAAAGTATTTGAAGGATTTTATAAAGTATTTGAAGGTTTTTATCAAATTGTTAGAGGATATTAAAAATTATTTGGAAGATAGAAATAAAATTTTGGAGGATATTCAGAGTCTATCTAAAAATTCGTAAAAACTTGAACAAAATAACATCATAAAAAAATATAAAATAACATCAATTTTATGAAATGTTATATTTTTCAATTATAATAAACTGCAAAACATTGAAAATAAGCTACAGATATCATCATCTATTTTCATTCTTTTTGGCTCTCTGGTTGGTTGGCTTGCCTTTTCTCTTTTTCTTGCTGGCTTCTTCTTCCGCAAAATATAAACGTAATCCATCAAGAAATTCAGCCCAGTCTTGCACCATGTCATTGTGAAAACATAACCACTGTGCCTCATAATGTCATAAGCAATCCACCATTCATTTGAATTATGATTTTTTTTTTACTATTTCTGGTATCCAAAATTTATAATACCATAATTCATTATAATATTTACATGTACAATTAATCATTCCCCGCGCTTTGAAGGTGCACCTAGGGAAAATATGCATGCATAATATCTCTTCGATTGCTAGTGCTGGATGTGCATCTTCTAAGGCATCAATTAGGCGTGCAATTTAATTAGCCATCTAATCAAACAAAATTAAAAATAATTTCATAAAATTAAAATAAATATATAAATATAAATCATAACAAAACAAAATAAAATAAAGTAACAAATGTATTATCATAATACAAAATAAAGTTATACCTTTTGTAGTAGCAGTAGTTATATTCTTATCAAATTAATTTAAATTCTAAATGAAACAATTTTTTTTTCTGAATATAGTTTATTGTACATTGTGATTTCTTCTATATAAGGTTTTGAACTTGAATTGGTGCAATGTTTTGGAAGAGGGAAAGTCATGACGTTCAAATATGTCTTTTCATTTATAATTATCCTTGGTTTTGGTAAATTCATTTCATTTAATTCAATTAATTTTATGTCTAGTAAATGTTTTTACGTGTCTTTTGAGTGTTTATTTTTTTGAGAATATAATAATTTTTGGATATCTTATACTTATTAAATAATATGGTTTGTTCATGCTAGAATTTCATTGGTTTTATAGAATATTATTATTTGTTTAATCTTGATGATATCCTATATTACATAAACGATGTTCTCTTTGTTGTGAAAGAATATCTTTTATCACATAAATAATTTCATGTGTTCTGTCAATGCTTTATATGTTAGTTTATTTTTTTTCCTTTTATTAATTTAAAATATTATAAGTACTGCTTAGGATATGTTTTTATGTTTTGAGGACATACTATGTGCATTTTAAGGATATAATATATTCATAAATTTAATGATATGATTTTTCATAATAGGATATCATCCCGCCTATAAATGGTATATTCTATTTATAAATGATATCATCTAAGTAATTAAGGATATCATTTTGTTAAAAAAATAATATCATAGAACAAATAAAACATATCATGAAATCACCATTAAAGATCAACAATGGAGAAATTACCATTGAAAGTCGTTACTAAGCTCATGGGTATAATTTGACAACAAAAATAAATGCTCATTTCATATATCTGAAAATTTTAATTTCATAGATTACGAAAATAAAACTTCAAATTTAGAACTTAAACAAAAAAATTATAAAAACCTAGAATCTTAATCTTTTTCATCTTCATCTTTTTATTTACTTGATTTCTTCTTCTTCTTCTTCTTCTTCTTCTTCATATTTTTCTTGATATCTTCTTCTTCATCAGATTTTGGTTATATTTTCTTTAAGACTTCTTCTTTCTTCATATTTTTCTTGATATCTTCTTCTTCTTCATATTTTTCTTGATATCTTTCTTTTTCTCTTTGTTCTTCTGTTTTTCTTCTTCTTCTTTCTTTTTCTTTTTTTATTCTATCTCGAAGTTTTCCTGTTCTCTCTTCCTCTTCTTCAGTTCTTCGAATCTATTCTTTTCTACTTTCTCATAGAGCTCCATTTGTTGATCCTTCACTCTATCTCTTTTTTCGAGTAAATCATTTAGCTTTTTTTCCCAGTTATCCATTCCATTTTCTTCTGGATCATTTGAAGAAGTAGAAGACTGAGAATTTTTTTTTCCATCTTTAGGAGAGAGAATATGTAAACAGGAAACATGCAAAATGTGTGAGGAATCATATCGTTTAAAGACCTTTAATTAATATTTTTATTTTAATTTATATGCGAAATGTATGAGGAATTTTATTAAAAAAAAAAATTTATATTCATTGTCATAGAATATTTATTATATGAGGATATAACATATTGCTTATGAGGATATAGTATTTACATTTTACGTCTATTAAAGTTAGTGAAGTTTTTTTCAATTGAGGATGTAACATTTTATATTGCAGATATTGTATAAGTATTTTTAAGATATCATTTGTGATGTTATTAAATATTTACCTTGTATGTTATATCATTTAAGATTATTGATTTTCAAATGAGGATATATTAAATTAATTTGCTGATGCAATATGTGTAATTGAGGATTTGAGGAATTATTTAACTTATCATATATAGGAAACTATAACAAACAAAATAAAGCATATCTTATTTATTTTATTAAAACATGATACATAATTAAAACTAATATAAAAGTACAACATCTTAAATACCATTTTAGACTTCAGTAAGAAGCCTTAAATTACCGTTAACATCAAAAATTCTAATATAAATTAAATGTTGTGTGAATAAGATATTATTTAGATATTGTAGGATATAATTTGGTTATTGTATGATATAATTTGGATTTTGTAGAATATTGTTAAATATATAACTAGGACTTTACTTAATTTTTTAAGTATATCATACAGTCATGAGAGGATATCATTCAGTATTAAATAGGATATCATAAAGATACAACTAGGATATAAACTATTGTATGTTATAATCTAATATCATTCATTTTTGAGAGGATATGTTGTAAATATTTGAGGATATTTTGTAGTTATTGTAGGATACATTAAATGTTATTTTATAATTTTGATGTTGTAGGGAATATTTCAAGCATTATCCAAAAATTGAACCCCACTGTGATCATACACTAAAGTACGGTGGCGTCCAAAGGGAAAGAAGCTAGAGCAAAAGAGTCGCCAACAAG